TCCACTCCTACTAAAGGGTCTATGAGAAAGGACAAGCTGGAGTTGGCTGGATGACACAGTTGACTTGTTACATGTTTGTGTCCCTGATCTCAGCCTGGATGGAGCTAAAACTACTCCAGCTTCCAAAATGGTTTCATTGTGTACTTCATGTAAACGTTCTAATATTTGTAAGTAAGTAATTTAATGTTTATTTATGTAGCGCATTTTACAGACCAAAGTCAACAAAAACACACGGTGGTGACGGAAGCGAGACGCCGAACACACTGGACCATGAAAACCTCCGACCCAACACCATCCACTCATTTATTCAGACCTATTGTGCATGCTTTTAGTGGTAGGACTAACCGGAGCACACGGAGGAAACCTACGCAGGCACGGTATGCACTAGAAACTCTCTTCGGTCTTACTATCAGGTCTCTCTTCGGTCTTACTCTCTGGTCCCTCTCTGGTCTCTCTTCGGTCTTACTCTCTGGTCTCTCTTCGGTCTCTCTTCGGTCTTACTCTCTGGTCTCTCTTCGGTCTTACTCTCTGGTCTCTCTTCGTTTTTTCTCTCTAGTCTCTCTTCGGTCTTACTTTCTGGTCCCTCTCTGGTCTCTCTTTGGTCTTACTCTCTGGTCTCTTTTCGGTCTTACTATCTGGTCTCTCTTCGGTCTTACTCTCTGGTCTCTCTTCGGTCTTACTCTCTGGTCTCTTTTCGGTCTTACTATCTGGTCTCTCTTCAGTCTTACTTTCTGGACCCTCTCTGGTCTTACTCTCTGGACCCTCTCTGGTCTCTCTTCGGTCTTACTCTCTGGTCCCTCTCTGGTCCCTCTCTGGTCTTACTCTCTGGTCTCTCTTCGGTCTTACTCTCTGGTCCCTCTCTGGTCTCTCTTTGGTCTTACTCTCTGGTCCCTCTCTGGCCTCTCCTCGGTCTTACTCTTTGGTCTCTCTTCGGTCTTACTCTCTGGTCTCTCTTCAGTCTTACTCTCTGGTCCCTTTCTGGTCTTACTCTCTGGACCCTCTCTGGTCTCTCCTCGGTCTTACTCTCTGGTCCCTCTCTGGCCTCTCCTCGGTCTTACTCTTTGGTCTCTCTTCGGTCTTACTCTCTGGTCTCTCTTCAGTCTTACTCTCTGGTCCCTTTCTGGTCTTACTCTCTGGTCCCTCTCTGGTCCCTCTCTGGTCTTACTCTCTGGTCCCTCTCTGGTCTCTCCTCCGTCTTACTCTCTGGTCCCCACTCACTCCTTACATTCAGACCTATTGTGCATATTTTTAAGCGATAGGACAAACCGGAGCACCTGGAGATAACCTACGCAGGCACAGTCAGCACATTATAAACCCCACTCAGAAAGGCCCTGCTTTTTCCGACCAGGATTCAAACCCAGGCCTTTCTTGCAGAGAAACGAGACTGCTAACCACTCTGCCACCTTCTCTTCCACTACAGCGTCTACTGCTTCCAACCCAACCGTGAATGTAGGGCTCTCATCGACCAGAGACTAGAAAAACTGGGGCCAAATCTTTTGCGTTAACACTGCGTCTGTTCTCATCCATGAATCACCGAGTACAAACGTCTCTATTGTCTTTACTTTGGAACTCAGATCTGGCTCCAAAAGTGTGAAGTCGGGGATCCCTGCGGGGCAAATATCTCGCGTATGGATTCTAATGAGCCCCGCTTTGCCAAGTAATAGTTTGTAGGTGTCTTTCCTGGCTCCATATGATAACAACCTGAGTGAGAAGTGTATCACAGAACCCCCGCGGACGCCTCTGACGGCGCTAGCTAGTCCGGGCGGATGCAGGGTATATTTTTTTTTTCGCGATTGAAGAATGTTTTGCCCACCTTCTGACTGCGCGCCCGAAAAACCTCGCCGGGGAGATAAACAAGAGAGAGAGACAAAGCAGACGTGCTCCTTTTGAAGTGGTGTATGAAAACAGCACCTCTGCTCTGGCGCCGCGGCACCAGGAGGGAACCCGCGTGAAGGTCGGGTGAAGGTGCAAAGCCGGGGACCGCGCGGAGAGGAATGGGAAATGACAGATCAGCAGATATGAGAGTGTGTGTGTGTGTGTGTGTGTGTGTGTGTGTGTGTGTGTGTGTGTGTGTGTGTGTGTGTGTGTGTGTGTGTGTGTGTGTGTGTGTGTGTGTGTGTGTGTGTGTGTGTGTGTGTGTGTGTGTGTGTGTGTGTGTGTGTGTGTGTGTGTGTGTGCACTTGTTTTCAACTCCTGGTGGGTTCCATAACCTGAGATTCCACTCACGTCATGGGGACTGGTTTTACGTGGTGGGGCCCGAACACCGGACCCCACTGGTCCAAGCTTAATAATCAATGGGTAATGCTTTTCTAACGGTCCTTATGCAGTCTCTGTAAAAATATGGAAAGGACCCCTGGAGGTTTACTTTCCTGAAAAAAGTGTGTTATGTGTCGGAACCCTGGTGGTGGGTTGCGGGATATCAAGGAGGGGCACACTGGGGCAATTTCAGTCCAGCAGGCTGGAGCCAATCATGGAGCAGCACAACAGAGGAAATCAGGTGTCAGGCTAGAAAAAGGTGCAAGTGTGTGGTTCATTAGGCTGCAAGAAATCATGGAGGAGCACACTGAAGCGCACGCTTACAAACCACTGGTAAGTGCTGACTACAAGTCATGACTTCAAATTGTTATATAGAATGATTACAAATTATTTGTTGTTTGTGCAGCTTAGTCAAGAGTCCCTAATTGATGAAGTCGACTCAGATTGTGACCATTTAACTGTCAAGAAGAAACCTGTAAAAAAGTATGGAAAAAGAAAAATCAAAAACACTTTTCTTCAAGACTCGGAAAGTGACGAACCAAAGGCAAATAAGATTGTTATCATGCAGCTGCAAAAGAAGAAAAATGGGGGGCGAGTATACAGCAAGAGACACTTCTGCCTCTACTGTTCAATGTCCTGCCACAAAATGTCCCGTCATTTGACTAGAAAACATGGAAATGAAAGTGACGTAGCCAGAGCATTGGCTCTACCTGTGAAATCTAAAGCACGTAAACTTCAGTTTGATTTGATCAGGAATAGTGGAAACCGTGAGCACAATTTTGAGGTTTTAAAGGCCGGCATTGGAACTTTAGTCCCAGCTAAACAGCCAAATTCCCCAGTTAAATCCAGTGAGTTTTTGCACTGTATAGACTGTGGGGCATTGCTTAAGCGAAAGTCGCTGTGGAGGCATGTGGCCAGGTGCCGGCTTTCACAGAAAGATGCCCAGGCTAAACCAGGTAGAAGTAGGGTCCAGTCCCTCTGCTCCCTAGCCCAGCCTGTACCGGAGGGCATCAGCAAAAAGCTGTGGTCTTTAATTTCGGCAATGCATCAGGATGAGGTCACGGGTGTTGTCAAAGCAGAAAAGGGGATTCTGAGACTCGGAGAGCACCTGTACTTAAAACACGGGCATGATAAGACAAAGCATGATTACATTAGGCAGAAAATGAGAGAAGTCGGTAGGTTAATTAACGAAGCAAAAACCGCAGGGAAACTGAAAACAATTAAGGATTTCTTTATTCCTTCCAACTTTAACCATGTGATTGATGCAGTCAGGTCTGTGGCTGGATATGATGAGGAAACAAATCAATACAAGACTCCATCCTTGGCCCTCAAACTCGGCCATAGCCTCAGAAAGCTAGCAGATATTCTTGAATGTGACTCAAAAATGGAGCATTGTGTTGATGAACTATTTATTAAAAACCTCCAACGAAGCCGGCTGCTTTTTGAGAAGAGGTGGGACGTCTGTGTTTCTTCTGCTGCCCTACAGACCCTCCGGCAAGCCAAGTGGAACACTCCGGACCTGCTCCCTCTGACTGAGGACGTTAGAGCCATGCATGCACATATTGAGGTATGTCGACCTGAATATGTGCAAACCCTAATAAGTGAGCCAACGTCTAAGCATTGGTCTAAACTGGCAGTTTTGACTCTTTGTGAGGTCATCATTTTCAATCGAAGAAGGGAAGGTGAGGTTTCAAAGATGCCACTACAGCCTTTACCTTAAGAAGTAAGACTGGGATCCATTCTGACATTGCTCTGGGACTGTCCCAACTTGAGAAAAAGCTGTGTCAGCATTTTCAACGCATTGAAATTAAAATGGAAAAGAAGTCGGAAAGTGCCGGTTCTTTTGACTCCTGAAATGATTGCTTGGATGGAGGTGCTGGTGGAGAACAGAAGGGCCTGTTCCATCTCTGACCATAACCCATACTTCTTTTCCCGCCCGGGCGCAGACACCCACATCAGGGGATCAGACTCCCTACGCCAGGTAGCCAAAGAATGTGGTGCGGTGCATCCAGAGATGCTATCCTCAACCAAACTTAGAAAGCACATAGCTACTATGTCTACAGTTCTCAATATGAAAGAGAATGAGATGGACATACTTGCCAACTTCCTCGGCCATGACATTCGCATCCACAGGCAATATTACAGACTACCAGAGGGGACACTGGAGCTGGCCAAAATCAGCAAAGTGTTGATGGCCATGGAGCAGGGAAGAGTGACGGAATTCGAAGGAAAGAGCCTCGACCAGATACAAATTGAGCCTGAAGGTAATTCTTGATATTATTAAAATATGTATGATTTTTTTCCCCTAAAGGCCACTTGTATTTTTATTTTCTGTGCGACAGGGAGAGCAGTAGAGATCCTCTCACAAACGGACGGGCTAAAAGAAACTTCAAGCGGAGAACCTTCAACCATTCATCCAGATGCACCCCATGGTAGTGGCAGTGCCCCTTCTGGTAAGTGTACCAGGTGGGGGATTACAGCCAGGCTGCTTGGTCCTCACCCTGGGAGTGTATATCGCTAATATATTTTTATTTCTCTCCCTAGAACGTGTAAGAAAGCCATGGTCTGCATCTGAGGTGAAGGCTGTGGAGAAGACCACACAAAAACGTGTGTGTGTGTGTGTGTGTGTGTGTGTGTGTGTGTGTGTGTGTGTGTGTGTGTGTGTGTGTGTGTGTGTGTGTGTGTGTGTGTGTGTGCGTGTGCGTGCGTGCGTGTGTGCGTGTGTGTACGTGTCTCCCACTCACCGTCCTCATGGATCCTCGCCGCGTGCATGTGTTCCACGGCCGCGGGGATCCGGTCCCACTGACACTCGGCCCGGAGCCGCTCCAGCTCCGCCTCTACCCGCAGCTGAGTGAAGGACACACGGGCTGCCATGGCCGGCCTCTCCCGGGGGTGGTGGAGCCCGTGGTGGTCCCCGGAGACAGCGGACTGAGGAGAGGGCAGAGCAGGGAGTGAGAGCGGGAGGAGGGACCAGGCTGAACTAGGCTGGACCAGGCTGGACCAATGTGGACCAGGCTGGAGCTTGGTTTAAAGACGGTGTAAAAGTGACGAACTTCAGGAGAGATAAAAGCAGAGAAAACAAGACTAAACAAGCTTTAACTTGTATCAAAGTGTTCGCAACTTCCTCCGGTGTATTTTCACACTCCTCCCAATGCCTGGACCTGAAAACCTATTAATATTATTATTATTGTGTAGTTGTAAATGTTAATCAGTCTAATTTAAAATGTGGTGGTTTGCATTATTCCTCCACAGTCCCTCACCTGCTCAGTCTCACACGCTGCTGTACGCCCCATGGCCACCAGGGGGCCCCCAAGATCAGAGCGTCACTATAAGTTACACAAATGTTGTTCAACTATGACAAGATTAAGTGTTTCAATAAACATGAGGGAAAGATGTAAATATTGTCTAAATATTCTATTTTAAAAATGTGTGTCAAAGAGCCCTGGGAGTCAGTATTTGATGCTGATTGGTTGAGGGAGGGTGGTTCTCTCTGGTTATCTCTGGTCACTCCCTGGTCTCTCTCTGGTCTCTCTCTCTGGTCTCTCTCTCTGGTCTCTCTCTGGTCTCTCTCTGGTCTCTCTCTAGTCTCTCTGGTCTCTCTCTAGTCTCTCTGGTCTCTCTCTCTGGTCTCTCTCTGGTCTCTCTCTCTGGTCTCTCTGGTCTCTCATGGTCTCTCTCTGGTCTCTCATGGTCTCTCGCTTGTCTCTCTCTGGTCTCTCTAGGACTAAAAACTAGCTTTCAGTAGATTGGTTTTATAATAATAATAATAATAGTAATGATAATAATAATAATAATAGTAATAATAATAATAATAATAATAATAATAATAATAATAGTAATAATAATAATAATAATAGTTATGATAATAATAATAGTAATGATAATAATAATAGTAATAATAATAATAATAATAATAATAGTAATGATAATAATAATAATAATAATAATAATAATAATAATAATAATTCTATTGTTGTGGTTCAAAAGTGATCGGTCAAAGCCTTAAGGAGCTCGACAAAGATACAGTTAGAAGCATTCACAGTTTATTCTTGTCAGCAAATGTTTTATTTAAAATCAAACACAGGAAGTTCATGCTTGTGAAAGATAAAATAAGGTACTTTTGGTATCTGTGTTTATAAATGTATAATAATAATGATGTCATATTTGTGCGGCGTGTCAGACTCAAAGAGAAACACTGGACGAATGAGACGAGAGAGAATTCCATCTAAGGCAACAAACCATTTTACCTGTCCCTGTGCTCCACATTTGAGTCCTGTCCCTGTGCTCCACATTTGAGTCCTGTCCCTGTGCTCCACATTTGAGTCCTGTCCCTGTGCTCCACATTTGAGTCCTGTCCCTGTGCTCCACATTTGAGTCCTGTCCCTGTGCTCCACATTTGAGTCCTGTCCCTGTGCTCCACATTTGAGTCCTGACCCTGTGCTCCACATTTGACTGACCCTGTGCTCCACATTGGAGTCCTGACCCTGTGCTCCACATTTGACTGACCCTGTGCTCCACATTGGAGTCCTGACCCTGTGCTCCACATTTGTCCCGCTGAGCCGTCGTCCTGGGCCCAGATCTAAGGTTTGTTTCGTGGCCGCTGCTGTGTTTACCTGTCCCTGTGACTATAGGTACAGCTACTGCTGTCCCTGCGACTATAGGTACAGCTACTGCTGTCCCTGCGACTATAGGTACAGCTACTGCTGTCCCTGCGACTATAGGTACAGCTACTGCTGTCCCTGCGACTATAGGTACAGCTACTGCTGTCCCTGCGACTATAGGTACAGCTACTGCTGTCCCTGCGACTATAGGTACAGCTACTGCTGTCCCTGCGACTATAGGTACAGCTACTGCTGTCCCTGCGACTATAGGTACAGCTACTGCTGTCCCTGTGACTATAGGTACAGCTACTGCTGTCCCTGTGACTATAGGTACAGCTACTGCTGTCCCTGTGACTATAGGTACAGCTACTGCTGTCCCTGTGACTATAGGTACAGCTACTGCTGTCCCTGTGACTATAGGTACAGTTACTGCTGTCCCTGTGACTATAGGTACAGTTACTGCTGTCCCTGTGACTATAGGTACAGCTACTGCTGTTCCTGTGACTATAGGTACAGTTACTGCTGTCCCAGTGACTATAGGTACAAATACTACTGTCCCTGTGACTATAGGTACAGCTACTGCTGTCCCTGTGACTATAGGTACAGCTACTGCTGTCCCTGTGACTATAGGTACAGCTACTGCTGTCCCTGTGACTATAGGTACAGCTACTGCTGTCCCTGTGACTATAGGTACAGTTACTGCTGTCCCTGTGACTATAGGTACAGCTACTGCTGTTCCTGTGACTATAGGTACAGTTACTGCTGTCCCTGTGACTATAGGTACAGCTACTGCTGTCCCTGTGACTATAGGTACAGTTACTGCTGTCCCTGTGACTATAGGTACAGCTACTGCTGTCCCTGTGACTATAGGTACAGTTACTGCTGTCCCTGTGACTATAGGTACAGCTACTGCTGTCCCTGTGACTATAGGTACAGCTACTGCTGTCCCTGTGACTATAGGTACAGTTACTGCTGTCCCAGTGACTATAGGTACAGCTACTGCTGTCCCAGTGACTATAGGTACAGCTACTGCTGTCCCAGTGACTATAGGTACAGCTACTGCTGTCCCAGTGACTATAGGTACAGCTACTGCTGTCCCTGTGACTATAGGTACAGTTACTGCTGTCCCTGTGACTATAGGTACAGCTACTGCTGTCCCTGTGACTATAGGTACAGCTACTGCTGTTCCTGTGACTATAGGTACAGTTACTGCTGTCCCTGTGACTATAGGTACAGCTACTGCTGTCCCTGTGACTATAGGTACAGTTACTGCTGTCCCTGTGACTATAGGTACAGCTACTGCTGTCCCTGTGACTATAGGTACAGCTACTGCTGTCCCTGTGACTATAGGTACAGCTACTGCTGTCCCTGTGACTATAGGTACAGCTACTGCTGTCCCTGTGACTATAGGTACAGTTACTGCTGTCCCTGTGACTATAGGTACAGCTACTGCTGTCCCTGCGACTATAGGTACAGCTACTGCTGTCCCTGTGACTATAGGTACAGCTACTGCTGTCCCTGTGACTATAGGTACAGCTACTGCTGTCCCTGTGACTATAGGTACAGCTACTGCTGTCCCTGTGACTATAGGTACAGTTACTGCTGTCCCTGTGACTATAGGTACAGCTACTGCTGTCCCTGCGACTATAGGTACAGCTACTGCTGTCCCTAGGTACAGCTACTGCTGTCCCTGCGACTATAGGTACAGCTACTGCTGTCCCTGTGACTATAGGTACAGTTACTGCTGTCCCAGTGACTATAGGTACAGCTACTGCTGTCCCAGTGACTATAGGTACAGCTACTGCTGTCCCAGTGACTATAGGTACAGCTACTGCTGTCCCAGTGACTATAGGTACAGCTACTGCTGTCCCAGTGACTATAGGTACAGCTACTGCTGTCCCTGTGACTATAGGTACAGTTACTGCTGTCCCTGTGACTATAGGTACAGCTACTGCTGTCCCTGCGACTATAGGTACAGCTACTGCTGTTCCTGTGACTATAGGTACAGTTACTGCTGTCCCTGTGACTATAGGTACAGCTACTGCTGTTCCTGTGACTATAGGTACAGTTACTGCTGTCCCAGTGACTATAGGTACAAATACTACTGTCCCTGTGACTATAGGTACAGTTACTGCTGTCCCTGTGACTATAGGTACAGCTACTGCTGTCCCAGTGACTATAGGTACAGCTACTGCTGTCCCAGTGACTATAGGTACAGCTACTGCTGTCCCAGTGACTATAGGTACAGCTACTGCTGTCCCAGTGACTATAGGTACAGCTACTGCTGTCCCTGTGACTATAGGTACAGCTAATGCTGTCCCTGTGACTATAGGTACAAATACTACTGTCCCTGTGACTATAGGTACAGCTACTGCTGTCCCTGTGACTATAGGTACAGCTACTGCTGTCCCAGTGACTATAGGTACAAATACTACTGTCCCTGTGACTATAGGTACAGCTACTGCTGTTCCTGTGACTATAGGTACAGTTACTGCTGTCCCAGTGACTATAGGTACAAATACTACTGTCCCTGTGACTATAGGTACAGCTACTGCTGTCCCTGTGACTATAGGTACAGCTACTGCTGTCCCTGTGACTATAGGTACAGCTACTGCTGTCCCTGTGACTATAGGTACAGCTACTGCTGTCCCTGTGACTATAGGTACAGCTACTGCTGTCCCTGTGACTATAGGTACAGTTACTGCTGTCCCTGTGACTATAGGTACAGCTACTGCTGTTCCTGTGACTATAGGTACAGCTACTGCTGTCCCTGTGACTATAGGTACAGCTACTGCTGTCCCAGTGACTATAGGTACAAATACTACTGTCCCTGTGACTATAGGTACAGCTACTGCTGTTCCTGTGACTATAGGTACAGTTACTGCTGTCCCAGTGACTATAGGTACAAATACTACTGTCCCTGTGACTATAGGTACAGCTACTGCTGTCCCTGTGACTATAGGTACAGCTACTGCTGTCCCTGTGACTATAGGTACAGCTACTGCTGTCCCTGTGACTATAGGTACAGTTACTGCTGTCCCTGTGACTATAGGTACAGCTACTGCTGTTCCTGTGACTATAGGTACAGTTACTGCTGTCCCTGTGACTATAGGTACAGCTACTGCTGTCCCTGTGACTATAGGTACAAATACTACTGTCCCTGTGACTATAGGTACAGCTACTGCTGTCCCTGTGACTATAGGTACAGCTACTGCTGTCCCTGTGACTATAGGTACAGTTACTGCTGTCCCTGTGACTATAGGTACAGCTACTGCTGTCCCTGTGACTATAGGTACAGCTACTGCTGTCCCTGTGACTATAGGTACAGCTACTGCTGTCCCTGTGACTATAGGTACAGTTACTGCTGTCCCTGTGACTATAGGTACAGTTACTGCTGTCCCAGTGACTATAGGTACAGCTACTGCTGTCCCAGTGACTATAGGTACAGCTACTGCTGTCCCAGTGACTATAGGTACAGCTACTGCTGTCCCAGTGACTATAGGTACAGCTACTGCTGTCCCTGTGACTATAGGTACAGTTACTGCTGTCCCTGTGACTATAGGTACAGCTACTGCTGTCCCTGTGACTATAGGTACAGCTACTGCTGTTCCTGTGACTATAGGTACAGTTACTGCTGTCCCTGTGACTATAGGTACAGCTACTGCTGTCCCTGTGACTATAGGTACAGTTACTGCTGTCCCTGTGACTATAGGTACAGCTACTGCTGTCCCTGTGACTATAGGTACAGCTACTGCTGTCCCTGTGACTATAGGTACAGCTACTGCTGTCCCTGTGACTATAGGTACAGCTACTGCTGTCCCTGTGACTATAGGTACAGTTACTGCTGTCCCTGTGACTATAGGTACAGCTACTGCTGTCCCTGCGACTATAGGTACAGCTACTGCTGTCCCTGTGACTATAGGTACAGCTACTGCTGTCCCTGTGACTATAGGTACAGCTACTGCTGTCCCTGTGACTATAGGTACAGCTACTGCTGTCCCTGTGACTATAGGTACAGTTACTGCTGTCCCTGTGACTATAGGTACAGCTACTGCTGTCCCTGCGACTATAGGTACAGCTACTGCTGTCCCTGCGACTATAGGTACAGCTACTGCTGTCCCTGTGACTATAGGTACAGTTACTGCTGTCCCAGTGACTATAGGTACAGCTACTGCTGTCCCAGTGACTATAGGTACAGCTACTGCTGTCCCAGTGACTATAGGTACAGCTACTGCTGTCCCTGTGACTATAGGTACAGTTACTGCTGTCCCTGTGACTATAGGTACAGCTACTGCTGTCCCTGTGACTATAGGTACAGCTACTGCTGTCCCAGTGACTATAGGTACAGCTACTGCTGTCCCAGTGACTATAGGTACAGCTACTGCTGTCCCAGTGACTATAGGTACAGCTACTGCTGTCCCTGTGACTATAGGTACAGCTAATGCTGTCCCTGTGACTATAGGTACAAATACTACTGTCCCTGTGACTATAGGTACAGCTACTGCTGTCCCTGTGACTATAGGTACAGCTACTGCTGTCCCAGTGACTATAGGTACAAATACTACTGTCCCTGTGACTATAGGTACAGCTACTGCTGTCCCAGTGACTATAGGTACAGCTACTGCTGTCCCAGTGACTATAGGTACAGCTACTGCTGTCCCAGTGACTATAGGTACAGTTACTGCTGTCCCTGTGACTATAGGTACAGCTACTGCTGTCCCTGTGACTATAGGTACAGCTACTGCTGTTCCTGTGACTATAGGTACAGTTACTGCTGTCCCTGTGACTATAGGTACAGTTACTGCTGTCCCTGTGACTATAGGTACAGCTACTGCTGTCCCTGTGACTATAGGTACAGCTACTGCTGTCCCTGTGACTATAGGTACAGCTACTGCTGTCCCTGTGACTATAGGTACAGCTACTGCTGTCCCTGTGACTATAGGTACAGTTACTGCTGTCCCTGTGACTATAGGTACAGCTACTGCTGTCCCTGCGACTATAGGTACAGCTACTGCTGTCCCTGTGACTATAGGTACAGCTACTGCTGTCCCTGTGACTATAGGTACAGCTACTGCTGTCCCTGTGACTATAGGTACAGCTACTGCTGTCCCTGTGAGTCCTTTTTATACAGGCATTATATACATGTAGATCAGGGGTGTTCAAACTTTTAGGTAAGCGGACCACTTTAATTCACCAGACTTGTTTAGGCGGACCACTTTAATTCACCAGACTTGTTTAGGCGGACCACTTTAATTCACCAGACTTGTTTAGGCGGACCACTTTAGTTCACCAGACTTGTTTAGGCGGACCACTTTAGTTCACCAGACTTGTTTAGGCGGACCACTTTAGTTCACCAGACTTGTTTAGGTAAGTGCCAGAAATCAAGACTATTTTGAGAAATATTTGTTAGTACTTCCTTAGAATTGAGTGTCCCTGATTAAGACTGTTCCATCAACCGTACACCGCACAGGAGGTAGGACCACTTGTTTGTAGGAGCCGATGACCTTTATTGTAAAATGGTTATTGACTGGACTGGACTCTGATCGTTCTGAGCTCCACCTGAAGGTAAAAGATTCTGTCAGACCTCTGAAGCTAACCAGGGCAGGGTCTGGTTAGTACAGTGATGGGAGACCTCTGTGCCACAGTGGGGCAGCTGCGGCTGCGGCTGTCGTAGTCTCATCATCACTCTCTCACTTTTTTAATACTTTTTTATTTTGGACAGTAAGGACAGTGATGATCCGGGACATTTATGGACATTTATTCATATTTATAGACTTTGGTCAGCTCTCTGTGGACCAATGTCTCTGTGTTGGTTCTGCATCTGTTTAATCCTCTGATCTGTTGATTTAGGGATAAACAAAAAATACATTGGATTAAACTCACAGAAGAATATTCACTGTTGTAGAGTCCACGTTCAGACTGTGTCCTGTAGTATTTATCCTGTGTATATTTTGGTCCTGCAGTATTTGTCCTGTGTATATTTTGGTCCTCTGCCTTTCGTGCACTTTTACACAGCTCCTGCAGACTTTGCTAAAACCAGAAACTGAGGAAAATAAAGCAGTGTTTCTGAAGTGACTGGACCGAGACTACACTGCTCTCATTATGAGATAAACACCAACACCAACCCTAAAGCCAACGCCAACCCTAACGCCAACGCCAACGCCAATGCCAACGCCAACGCCAACACCAACGCCAACCCCAACGCCAGCCCCAACGCCAACACCAACGCCAACGCCAGCCCCAACGCCAACACCAACGCCAACACCAACGCCAACGCCAACACCAACACCAACACCAACGCCAACACCAACCCCAACACCAACGCCAACACCAACGCCAACGCCAACACCAACCCCAACGCGAACGCCAACACCAACACCAACGCCAACGCCAGCCCCAACGCCAACACCAACGCCAACGCCAACACCAACCCCAACACCAACGCCAACACCAACCCCAACGCCAACGCCAACACCAACCCCAACGCCAACGCCAACACCAACGCCAACACCAACCCCAACACCAACGCCAACACCAACCCCAACACCAACGCCAACACCAACGCCAACACCAACACCAACATCGACCCAACACCAACCCAACGCCAACCCCAACGCCAACACCAACGCCAACCCCAACGCCAACCCCAAAGCCAACGCAAACCCCAACCCCAACACCAGCCCCAACGCCAACACAAATACCAACCCCAACACCAACGCCAACACCAACGCCAACACCAGCCCCAACGCCAACACCAACCGCAACGCCAACACCAGCCCCAACGGCAACACCAACCCCAACGCCAACGCCAACGCCAACACCAACGCCAACGCCAACCCCAACCCCAACGCCAACCCCAACGCCAACGCAAACCCCAACCCCAACACCAGCCCCAACGCCAACACAAATACCAACCCCAACACCAACACCAGCCCCAACGCCAACACCAACCGCAACGCCAACACCAGCCCCAACACCAACGCCAACACCAACGCCAACGCCAACACCAACCCCAACGCCAACACCAACACCAACGCCAACACCAACCCCAACGCTAACACCAACCCCAACACCAACACCAGCCCCAACACCAGCCCCAACACCAACGACAACACCAACCCCAACACCAACACCAGCCCCAACGCCAACACCAACCCCAACGCCAACACCAACCCCAACGCCAACACCAGCCCCAACGCCAACGCCAACACCAACCCCAACGCCAACACCAACCCCAACACCAACACCAGCCCCAACACCAGCCCCAACGCCAACACCAACCCCAACGCTAACACCAACCGGCACGGTGGCTGAGTGGATAGCACTCTCGCCTCTCAGCAAGAAGATCCTGGGTTCGAATCCCGGTCGGACCAGGGCCTTTCTGAGTGGAGTTTGCATGTTCTCCCCGTGTCTGCGTAGGTTTCCTCCGGGTACTCCGGTTTCCCCTACCACTAAAAATATGTCCAATAGTTCTGGCATGTGCCTCCTGTACTGGCGACGTCGCTCCCATCTCTGTGTGGAGTGAGAGACAAATGCCCAAAAAAAATTTACAATTGTAAACCGCTTTGAGACTCAGATTTGCAGTGAAAAGGCGGTATATAAATAAAGATTACTTACTTACTACTACTACTACTACTTACTACCAACCCCAACGCCAACACCAACCCCAACGCCAACACCAATCCCAACGCCAACACCAACCCCAACGCCAACCCCAACGCCAACGTCAACGCCAACCCCAACGCCAACACCAACCCCAACGCCAACACCAATCCCAACGCCAACACCAACACCAACACCAACCCCAACGCCAACACCAAAACCAGCCCCAACGCCAACGCCAACACCAGCCCCAACACCAGCCCCAACACCAACACCAGCCCCAACACCAACATCGACCCAACACCAACCCAACGCCAACACCAACGCCAACACCAACACCAACATCGACCCAACACCAACACCAACCCCAACGCCAACACCAACCCCAACGGCAACACCCACCCAACGCCAACCCCAACACCAACCCCAACGCCAACCCCAACGCCAACACCAACACCAACCCCAACGCCAACACCAACGCCAACGCCAACTCCAACCCCAACACCAACACCAACACCAACACCAACGCCAACACCAGCCCCAACACCAGCCCCAACACCAACACCAGCCCCAACACCAACACCAACACCAACACCAACGCCAACACCAGCCCCAACACCAACACCAGCCCCAACACCAACACCAACACCAACACCAACACCAGCCCCAACGCCAACACCAACGCCAACGCCAACACCAACCCCAACACCAACACCAGCCCCAACACCAACGCCAACACCAACACCAACACCAGCCCCAACACCAACTCCAACACCAACGCCAACACCAGCCCCAACACCAACACCAGCCCCAACACCAACACCAGCCCCAACACCAACACCAGCCCCAACACCAACACCAACACCAGCCCCAACACCAACGCCAACACCAACACCAGCCCCAACACCAACGCCAACACCAGCCCCAACGCCAACACCAACGCCAACCCCAACGCCAACGCCAGCCCCAACGCCAACCCCAACGCCAACACCAACCCCAACGCCAACACCAACCCCAACGCCAACACCAACCCCAACGCCAACACCAACGCCAACACCAGCCCCAACACCAGCCCCAACGCCAACACCAACGCCAACACCAACCCCAACACCAACGCCAACACCAACGCCAACACCAACCCCAACACCAACGCCAACCCCAACCCCACCGCCAACACCAACGCCAACACCAGCCCCAACGCCAACGCCAACGCCAACGCCAACGCCAACGCCAACCCCAACGCCAACACCAACGCCAACCCCAACGCCAACGCCAACGCAAACCCCAACCCCAACACCAGCCCCAACGCCAACACAAATACCAACCCCAACACCAACGCCAACACCAGCCCCAACGCCAACACCAACCGCAACGCCAACACCAGCCCCAACGCCAACACCAACGCCAACACTAACGCCAACACCAACGCCAACACCAACGCCAACACCAACCCCAACGCCAACACCAACCCCAACGCCAACACCAATGCCAACGCCAACCCCAACGCCAACCCCAACGCCAACACCAACGCCAACCCCAACGCCAACCCCAACGCCAACGCAAACCCCAACACCAGCCCCAACGCCAACACAAATACCAACCCCAACACCAACGCCAACACCAACGCCAACACCAGCCCCAAGGCCAACACCAACCGCAACGCCAACACCAGCCCCAACGCCAACACCAACCCCAACGCCAACGCCAACGCCAACCCCAACGCCAACGCCAACACCAACGCCAACGCCAACCCCAACGCCAACCCCAACGCCAACGCAAACCCCAACCCCAACACCAGCCCCAACGCCAACACAAATACCAACCCCAACACCAACACCAGCCCCAACGCCAACACCAACCGCAACGCCAACACCAGCCCCAACGCCAACGCCAACACCAACGCCAACACCAACCCCAACGCCAACGCCAACACCAACCCCAACACCAACGCCAACACCAACGCCAACACCAACCCCAACGCCAACCCCAACACCAACACCAACCCCAACGCCAACACCAGCCCCAACACCAACGACAACACCAACCCCAACACCAACACCAGCCCCAACACCAGCCCCAACGCCAACACCAACCCCAACGCCAACACCAACCCCAACGCCAACACCAGCCCCAATGCCAACGCCAACACCAACCCCAACGCCAACACCAACCCCAACACCAACACCAGCCCCAACACCAGCCCCAACGCCAACACCAACCCCAACGCTAACACCAACCGGCACGGTGGCTGAGTGGATAGCACTCTCGCCTCTCAGCAAGAAGATCCTGGGTTCGAATCCCGGTCGGACCAGGGCCTTTCTGAGTGGAGTTTGCATGTTCTCCCCGTGTCTGCGTAGGTTTCCTCCGGGTACTCCGGTTTCCCCTACCACTAAAAATATGTCCAATAGTTCTAGCATGTGCCTCCTGTACTGGCGACCCCGCTCCCATCTCTGTGTGGAGTGAGAAACAAATGCCCAAAAAAAATTTACAATTGTAAACCGCTTTGAGACTCAGATTTGCAGTGAAAAGGCGGTATATAAATAAAAATTACTTACTTACTACTACTACTACTACTTACTACCAACCCCAACGCCAACACCAACCCCAACGCCAACACCAACCCCAACGCCAACACCAATCCCAACGCCAACACCAACCCCAACGCCAACGTCAACGCCGACCCCAACGCCAACACCAACCCCAACGCCAACACCAATCCCAACGCCAACCCCAACGCCAACACCAATCCCAACGCCAACACCAACGCCAACACCAACACCAACCCCAACGCCAACACCAACACCAGCCCCAACGCCAACACCAGCCCCAACACCAACACCAGCCCCAACACCAACACCAGCCCCAACACCAACATCGACCCAACACCAACCCAACGCCAACACCAACGCCAACACCAACACCAACATCGACCCAACACCAACACCAACCCCAACGCCAACGCCAACCCCAACACCAACCCCAACGCCAACGCCAACCCCAACACCAACCCCAACGCCAACCCCAACGCCAACACCAACACCAACCCCAACGCCAACACCAACGCCAACGCCAACTCCAACCCCAACACCAACACCAACACCAACGCCAACACCAGCCCCAACACCAACACCAGCCCCAACACCAGCCCCAACACCAACACCAACACCAGCCCCAACACCAACACCAACGCCAACACCAGCCCCAACACCAACACCAGCCCCAACACCCACACCAGCCCCAACACCAACACCAACACCAACACCAGCCCCAACGCCAACACCAACCCCAACACCAACACCAGCCCCAACACCAACGCCAACACCAACACCAACACCAGCCCCAACACCAACACCAACACCAACGCCAACACCAGCCCCAACACCAACACCAGCCCCAACACCAACACCAGCCCCAACACCAACACCAGCCCCAACACCAACACCAGCCCCAACACCAACGCCAACACCAACACCAGCCCCAACACCAACGCCAACACCAGCCCCAACACCAGCCCCAACGCCAACACCAACGCCAACCCCAACGCCAACGCCAGCCCCAACGCCAACCCCAACGCCAACACCAACCCCAACGCCAACACCAACCCCAACACCAGCCCCAACGCCAACACCAACGCCAACACCAACCCCAACGCCAACCCCAACGCCAACACCAGCCCCAACGCCAACACCAACGCCAACACCAACCCCAACACCAACGCCAACACCAACGCCAACACCAACCCCAACACCAACGCCAACCCCAACCCCAACGCCAACACCAGCCCCAACGCCAACACCAGCCCCAACGCCAACGCCAACGCCAACCCCAACGCCAACCCCAACGCCAACACCAACGCCAACCCCAACGCCAACGCCAACGCAAACCCCAACCCCAACACCAGCCCCAACGCCAACACAAATACCAACCCCAACACCAACGCCAACACCAGCCCCAACGCCAACACCAACCGCAACGCCAACACCAGCCCCAACGCCAACACCAACGCCAACACTAACGCCAACACCAACGCCAACACTAACGCCAACACCAACCCCAACGCCAACACCAACCCCAACGCCAACACCAATGCCAACGCCAACCCCAACGCCAACCCCAACGCCAACCCCAACGCCAACCCCAACACCAACGCAAACCCCAACCCCAACACCAGCCCCAACGCCAACACAAATACCAACCCCAACCCCAACGCCAACACCAACGCCAACACCAGCCCCAAGGCCAACACCAACCGCAACGCCAACACCAGCCCCAACGCCAACACCAACCCCAACGCCAACGCCAACGCCAACCCCAACGCCAACGCCAACACCAACGCCAACGCCAACCCCAACGCCAACGCAAACCCCAACCCCAACACCAGCCCCAACGCCAACACAAATACCAACCCCAACACCAACACCAGCCCCAACGCCAACACCAACCGCAACGCCAACACCAGCCCCAACGCCAACGCCAACACCAACGCCAACGCCAACACCAACCCCAACGCCAACGCCAACACCAACCCCAACACCAACGCCAACACCAACGCCAACACCAACCCCAACGCTAACACCAACCCCAACACCAACACCAACCCCAACGCCAACACCAGCCCCAACACCAACGACAACACCAACCCCAACACCAACACCAGCCCCAACACCAGCCCCAACGCCAACACCAACCCCAACGCCAACACCAACCCCAACGCCAACACCAGCCCCAACGCCAACGCCAACACCAACCCCAACGCCAACACCAACCCCAACACCAACACCAGCCCCAACACCAGCCCCAACGCCAACACCAACCCCAACGCCAACCGGCACGGTGGCTGAGTGGATAGCACTCTCGCCTCTCAGCAAGAAGATCCTGGGTTCGAATCCCGGTCGGACCAGGGCCTTTCTGAGTGGAGTTTGCATGTTCTCCCCGTGTCTGCGTAGGTTTCCTCCGGGTACTCCGGTTTCCCCTACCACTAAAAATATGTCCAATAGTTCTAGCATGTGCCTCCTGTACTGGCGACCCCGCTCCCATCTCTGTGTGGAGTGAGAGACAAATGCCCAAAAAAAATTTACAATTGTAAACCGCTTTGAGACTCAGATTTGCAGTGAAAAGGCGGTATATAAATAAAGATTACTTACTTACTACTACTACTACTACTTACTACCAACCCCAACGCCAACCCCAACGCCAACGTCAACGCCAACCCCAACGCCAACACCAACCCCAACGCCAACACCAATCCCAACGCCAACACCAACGCCAACACCAACACCAACCCCAACGCCAACACCAACACCAGCCCCAACGCCAACACCAGCCCCAACACCAACACCAGCCCCAACACCAACACCAGCCCCAACGCCAACACCAACCCCAACGCCAACACCAACCCCAACGCCAACACCAACGCCAACACCAGCCCCAACCACCACCAACCCCAACGCCAACGCCAACGCCAACACCAACCCCAACCAACCCCAACGCCAACACCACCCCAACGCCAACACCAACGCCAACACCAACCCCAACAACCAACGCCAACGCCCCAACGCCAACACCAACCCCAACACCAACACCAACGCCAACCCCAACGCCAACACCAGCCCCAACCCCAACGCCAACACCAGCCCCAACGCCAACACCAACGCCAACCCAACGCCAACCCACCCAACCCCAACGCCAACCCACGCCAACACCAACGCCAACCCCAACGCCAACGCAGCAAACCCCAACCCCAACACCAGCCCCAACGCCAACACAAATACCAACCCCAACACCAACGCCAACACCAGCCCCAACGCCAACACCAACCGCAACGCCAACACCAGCCCCAACGCCAACACCAACGCCAACACTAACGCCAACACCAACGCCAACACTAACGCCAACACCAACCCCAACGCCAACACCAACCCCAACGCCAACACCAATGCCAACGCCAACCCCAACGCCAACCCCAACGCCAACCCCAACGCCAACCCCAACACCAACGCAAACCCCAACCCCAACACCAGCCCCAACGCCAACACAAATACCAACCCCAACACCAACGCCAACACCAACGCCAACACCAGCCCCAAGGCCAACACCAACCGCAACGCCAACACCAGCCCCAACGCCAACACCAACCCCAACGCCAACGCCAACGCCAACCCCAACGCCAACGCCAACACCAACGCCAACGCCAACCCCAACGCCAACGCAAACCCCAACCCCAACACCAGCCCCAACGCCAACACAAATACCAACCCCAACACCAACACCAGCCCCAACGCCAACACCAACCGCAACGCCAACACCAGCCCCAACGCCAACGCCAACACCAACGCCAACGCCAACACCAACCCCAACGCCAACGCCAACACCAACCCCAACACCAACGCCAACACCAACGCCAACACCAACCCCAACGCTAACACCAACCCCAACACCAACACCAACCCCAACGCCAACACCAGCCCCAACACCAACGACAACACCAACCCCAACACCAACACCAGCCCCAACACCAGCCCCAACGCCAACACCAACCCCAACGCCAACACCAACCCCAACGCCAACACCAGCCCCAACGCCAACGCCAACACCAACCCCAACGCCAACACCAACCCCAACACCAACACCAGCCCCAACACCAGCCCCAACGCCAACACCAACCCCAACGCCAACCGGCACGGTGGCTGAGTGGATAGCACTCTCGCCTCTCAGCAAGAAGATCCTGGGTTCGAATCCCGGTCGGACCAGGGCCTTTCTGAGTGGAGTTTGCATGTTCTCCCCGTGTCTGCGTAGGTTTCCTCCGGGTACTCCGGTTTCCCCTACCACTAAAAATATGTCCAATAGTTCTAGCATGTGCCTCCTGTACTGGCGACCCCGCTCCCATCTCTGTGTGGAGTGAGAGACAAATGCCCAAAAAAAATTTACAATTGTAAACCGCTTTGAGACTCAGATTTGCAGTGAAAAGGCGGTATATAAATAAAGATTACTTACTTACTACTACTACTACTACTTACTACCAACCCCAACGCCAACCCCAACGCCAACGTCAACGCCAACCCCAACGCCAACACCAACCCCAACGCCAACACCAATCCCAACGCCAACACCAACGCCAACACCAACACCAACCCCAACGCCAACACCAACACCAGCCCCAACGCCAACACCAGCCCCAACACCAACACCAGCCCCAACACCAACACCAGCCCCAACGCCAACACCAACCCCAACGCCAACACCAACACCAACCCCAACGCCAACACCAACGCCAACACCAGCCCCAACACCAACCCCAACGCCAACGCCAACACCAGCCCCAACACCAACCCCAACGCCAACACCAACGCCAACGCCAACCCCAACGCCAACACCAACGCCAACACCAACACCAACCCCAACGCCAACACCAACACCAGCCCCAACGCCAACCCCAACGCCAACACCAGCCCCAACTTCAATACCAACACCAACGCCAACACCAACCCCAACACCAACACCAACCCCAACACCAGCCCCAACCCCAACGCCAACGCCAACGCCAACACCAACGCCAACCCCAACGCCAACGCCAACCCCAACCCCAACACCAGCCCCAACGCCAACACCAATACCAACCCCAACGCCAACACCAACGCCAACACCAACACCAGCCCCAACACCAGCCCCAACGCCAACACCAATACCAACCCCAACACCAACACCAACGCGGCAGGGCGGCAGTAGCTCAGTTGGTAGAGCGTTGGCCTTTGAGCCAGAAGGTCGTGGGTTCAAGCCCCGCTCAAGACCTTCACCATCAACTCCCACTGACTACTATCGTTGTGTCCTTGGCAAGACACTTAACCTCTGGGAACACCAGCCACAGTGGGGCGGCTGCGGCTGTAAAGTGCCAAACTGCCGTTGTGTCCTTAGGCAAGACACTTCACCCCCATTGCCTAGAATGAGTCTGGTGTGTGTGTGAATGGTTGGTGGTGGTCGGAGGGGCCGATGGCGCATACTGGTTGCCTCGCTTCTGTCAGTGTGCCCCAGGGCAGCTGTGGCTACAGCAGTAGTTTATCACCACCGTGTATGGAGTGAAAGAATAATGACACATGTGAAGCGTCTTTGAGTGTCCAGAAAAGCGCTATATAAAACCGATGCATTATTATTATTATAACGCCAACACCAGCCCCAACACCAGCCCCAACGCCAACACCAATACCAACACCAATACCAACCCCAACACCAACGCCAACACCAACGCCAACACCAACACCAGCCCCAACGCCAACACCAATACCAACCCCAACACCAACACCAACGCCAACACCAACACCAGCCCCAACACCAGCCCCAACGCCAACACCAACCGCAACGCCAACACCAACACCAGCCCCAACGGCAACACCAACACCAACCCAACATCAACCCCAACGCCAACACCAACACCAGCCCAAACGCCAACCCAACACCAACACCAACACCAACGCCAACACCAACCCCAACGCCAACACCAACACCAACCCCAACACCAACCCCAACACCAACGCCAACACCAACCCCAACGCCAACACCAACACCAACGCCAACACCAACACCAACCCCAACGGCAACACCAGCCCCAACGCCAACACCAAACGCCAAAACCAACCCCAACCTCAACCCCAACACATGCTTCGGTACTAGAACGTGAAGTGACTTCCTGTATCCGGTGAGCGTGTTTCTTGACTACTTCTTGATCACTCTGCTCTCTGTTTGCACTAACAAACACATTAAAAATCCACGTATTGTACACCAAGCTAACTGTGTAAGCACTCCGAGTCAGCTGTACTGCAGCTGAGGTTTAGGTAGCGGTTGTTTGGTCTCGGAGTCTGTTGTGCGGGTCCGGATCCGGACTAGCTTAGCCTAGCCTAGAGCCTAGTCTCTCCCTCAGTCCTTTACTGCTCGAGTTGCCATATGGCGAGTCTAAACCCTGGATCCTTCTCTGAGGGTAGTGATAGATGTGTGAAGTGTAGTGTAGTCGTAGCTCTGGAATCCAGGGTCAGTGAGTTAGAGCTGCGTCTCCAAGCACTGGAGTCTCAAGCTAGCGCTAGCATTAGCTACAGCCAGGCCGTATCCTCAGGGACAGCGGAGCGCAGCTTTAGGGAAAGGCAGAGGAGAACTAGCGAGCCTAGCCTCCCAGCCCGTCCTCCGCAGCTGGGACAAGACCAGGATAGTGATGGCTTTGTGACTGTTCGGAGAGGGCGACGTGTTGTTGGTAGTTTCCCCATTGGGCCTCCTCCTGTTAGCATTTACAATCGCTGGGGGGCGCAGCCGGGCGGGGAAGAAGGCCCCACTGAGAGAGCTGCTGAGAGAGCTGCTGAGAGAGCTGCTGAGAGAGCTGCTGAGAGAGCCGCTGAGAGAGCTGCTGAGAGAGCTGCTGAGAGAGCTGCTGAGAGAGCTGCTGAGAGAGCCGCTGAGAGAGCCGCTGAGAGAGCCGCTGAGAGAGCTGCTGAGAGAGCCGCTGAGAGAGCCGCTGAGAGAGCCGCTGAGAGAGCTGCTGAGAGAGCCGCTGAGAGAGCCGCTGAGAGAGCCGCTGAGAGAGCTGCTGAGAGAGCCGCTGAGAGAGCCGCTGAGAGAGCCGCTGAGAGAGCCGCTGAGAGAGCCGCTGAGAGAGCCGCTGAGAGAGCCGCTGAGAGAGCCGATGGAGTCGCTGATGCGCTGGTAATTGGCTCCTCTATTGTTAGAGGTGTTAAGATCCCAGGAGCCACTGTTCGGTGCTTCCCTGGGGCCAGGCTTGGTGATATTGAAGGGAATCTGAGGCTCATGATGACCCACAAGCAGCGTTTCCGTCGAATTGTTATTCACGCGGGTGGTAATGACGTTCGGCGGAAACAGTCCGAGGTGTTGAAGCTGCAAGTCGCCGCGGTGTGCAAGCTGGCTAGCACAATGGCCGACACTGTCATCTTCTCTGGGCCCCTACCTAGCACTAGCAGTGCAGAAGCATTCAGCAGACACTCGGCTTTCAACCGCTGGCTGTCTGGCTGGTGCCCTCCAAGTGGTGTTGTTCATGTTGACAATTGGAGTGCCTTTTGGGGAAGGCCCGGTCTCATCCGCTCGGATGATATCCACCCAACGTTGGCGGGTACATCCCTTTTGGCTAAGAATTTGGCCCTGGCTCTAAACTGTTCTACACATGGTTCTTCAGCTCCAAGCTAGTAATACCCTATCCAGATATTATAATAGATCCATGGTAATACTCTATCCAGTTATCAGAATCAGAATCATTTTTATTGCCACGTAAGTAACAGGAAGTCAAAGACTTGGAAATTGCTTTGGCTCAGTGCAACAGTCAGAAAGAGAAAATAAAAAATAAAGACTAAAAAACACTTCTAAGGAATAAATTTAAATTTAAAATAGAGTTACAGTTACTATTTACAATATACAAGTGCACATGGTGCACACAATGTAAGGTGACAGCAGTACAGTGAAGTAAAGTGACGTATGATGGGCAGTAAAGTGACTTTATAAAGGGCGGGGGGACAGGTTAAGAAGTGTTCAAGAGTCCAACAGCAGAGGGGAAGAAACTGTTCTTGTGGCGGGAGGTTCTGGTCCTGATGGACCGCAGCCTCCTGCCTGAGGGGAGTGGTTGGAATAGTCCATGTGCAGGTGAGAGGGGAGTGGTTGGAATAGTCCATGTGCAGGTGAGAGGGGAGTGGTTGGAATAGTCCATGTGCAGGTGAGAGGGGAGTGGTTGGAATAGTCCATGTGCAGGTGAGAGGGGAGTGGTTGGAATAGTCCATGTGCAGGGTGAGAGGGGTTTGTCTCTGTTTGTCCCTGACTGTGGCTCCAGCGAACCACACGGTGATGGAGGAGGTGATGGAGGAGGTGATGGAGGAGGTGATGGAGGAGGTGAGGATGGACTCGATGATGGCCGTGTAGAACTGCACCAACATCTGTGCAGGCAGCTTGGCTTTCCTGAGCTGCCGCAGGAAGTACATCCTCTGCTGGGCCTTCTTGATGAGGAGCTGATGGTCGGCTCCCACTTGAGGTCCTGGGTGATGGTGGTGCCCAGGAAACGGAAGGACTCCACAGAGGTGATGGGGGAGTCCATCACGGAGGGTGGGGGCGGGGGGACAGTGCTCTTCTTGAAGTCCACAATCATCTCCACTGTCTTCTGGGCGTTCAGCTCCAGGTTGTTACCACTGCACCAGGACACCAGCCGGTCCACCTCCCTCCTGTAGGCGGACTCATCGTTGTTGGAGATGAGTCCAATGAGGGTGGTGTCGTCCGCGAACTTGATCAGCTTCACGGAGTTGTGGCTGGAGGTGCAGTGGTTGGTGTACAGGGAGAAGAGCAGGGGAGAAAGAACACAGCCCTGTGGGGCTCCTGTATTTATAATCCGAGAGTCAGAGACATTCTTCCCCAGACGCACTCGCTGCTTCCTGTCCGTCAGGAAGTCAGTGATCCACCTGCCGGTGGAATCGGGCACGTTGAGCTGGGAGAGCTTGTCCTGGAGCAGGGATGGCAGGATTGTGTTGAAGGCAGAGCTGAAGTCCACGAACAGGACCCTGGCGTAGGTCCCCGGGGAGTCCAGGTGCTGTAGGATGTGGTGGAGGGCCAGGTTAATGGCGTCGTCTACAGATCTGTTGGCTCTGTAGGCGAACTGCAGGGGGTCCAGGAGGGGGGAGGTGAGGGACTTGAGATGGGAGAGAACCAGGCGTTCAAATGACTTCATGACGACAGACGTAAGTGCTACAGGTCTGTAGTCATTGAGTCCTGTGATCCTGGGCTTCTTCGGGACGGGGACAATGATGGAGGATTTGAAGCAGGCCGGGACATGGCAGGACTGCAGAGAGGTGTTGAAAATGTCCGTGAACACAGGAGTAAGCTCACTGGCGCAGTGTCTCAGAGTGGCCGGAGACACGTGGTCCGGGCCAGGAGCTTTGCGGGGGTGCAGCCTCAAGAAGAGTTGTTTAGTCTCTTTAGAGGCTATTGTTAGGCTGGGGGCAGGGCTGATGGGTGGGTCGTTAGAGTAGTGGGGAGTGGGGGGGGGAGAGGTGTCAGGGGCAGCATCAAAGCGACTGAAAAATAAGTTCAGTTCGTCAGCTAGCTTGTGGTCATCAGCACAGGGGGGGGCTTTGGGTTTGTAGTTGGTGATCTCCCGTAGGCCCCTCCAGACAGAAGCAGTATCGTTGTTACCAAACTGCTCCTGTAGTCGTTCTCTGTGCCGGGACTTGGCTGCTTTCAGTTCTTTCCTGAACTGATATTTAGCTGCTTTGTAGCCGCTGCGGTCCCCCTCCCTGAAAGCAGACTCCTTTGCTTTCCTGAGCTGCCGGAGTTTAGCAGTGAACCAGGGTTTGTCGTTGTTATAGATGACCCTGGTCCTTGTTGGAATGATGCTATCCTCACAGAAGTGGATGTATGACGTCACAGTGTCCGTGTATTCATCCAAACTATCTGTGGCAGCTCTGAAAAGGTCCCAGTCTGTAGATTCCATGCATGCAGCTCTTCCACAGCTTCATCAGACCACACTTTGGAGCTCCTCACTGCAGGTTTCGAGAGCTTTAGTCTCTGTCTGTAAGCAGGAACCAGATGTATCATGGAGTGATCTGAGAAGCCGAGGGCTGGCTTGGGAACAGCGCGAAAAGCTCCGCGCACGGTGGTGTAACAGTGATCCAGAGTGTTCTCCTCTCTGGTCGGGCATTTGATAAACTGTCTGTATTTGGGTAATTCCTGGCTCAAGTTTCCCTTATTAAAATCCCCCAGGATAATAATCAGAGAGTCCGGGTATAAACGTTCCATACACAGTACTTGCTCTGCGTCCGCGCATGGCGGTATGTAAACAGAGGCAAGAATGAATGAAACAAACTCACGAGGAGAGTAAAATGGTTTACAATGAATGAAAATATATTCCAGAGCAGGAGAGCAGTGCTTGGAGATCACTGTCACATGGTTACACCAGTTTGTATTGACGTAGAAACACAGCCCTCCGCCTCTGCTCTTCCCTGAGAGCGCACAATGGCGATCCGTGTGGAACAGCCCAAAGCCCTGCAGCTCCAGAGCGCAGTCCGGGATCCGCTC